AAATTTTTAAGTTTATATATTTATTTAGATCTATATCGATGAAGAAGAGGAAGCAACAACAAGTTCTATTGCTTTACCATGGCCAATTTATAGAGCATATTTTAAAATAATACCTCAAAACAAAGAAAACAATTCTCTGATGGTAAAATGTTTGCCGTGTTTACCTAAAAATACAAAAATATCCGTCAGTATGACTTCAACGTGCAATATCGTGAAGCACATAAGGGTATAGATATTATATATTTAAAATTCTAATTTAAATTTTAAGAGAAAACATCCAACCTTGTTAACAAAAATAAAAAAAGGGAAGGAAAATAAAACTACCAAAGAAAATATTGGACAAGGCTCATCCTCCAATAATATTTTTGCTAAAAGACCTTTGACTTTAACTCAAGGCACTTTAGATGATTTAATTATTGCTTTTATTATAGATGGCAGGCAGCCATTTTCAATTGTTGAAAATCTTTCTTTTAAAAAAATGATCAGCACTTTGGCTCCACACAAAAATATAATTTGCCGACAGACAGTTGTTGGTAGAATTTCCCACAGATAGGAAAATGAAAAGAAAGAAATAATTAAAAGTCTTATAGAACCATCATTAATATACAAAACAGCAGATTGTTGGAGTGCCTATCGCCGGTATAGCTAATATTTAAATTTGTATAATAATTAATTAAGAATAAATTATTTCAGCAATTTTAAGAAATTTTAATTTTTAGTTCATACATAGGAGTAACCGCTCACTATATAAATCCAATAAGTTTGGAAAGAAAAAATATAGCGTTGGCTTGTAAAAAAATGACTGGTAGTCATACATATGATAAAATAGCAAATTTACAAGATATAGCTAAGGATTATTGCATACAAAATAAAATTTCAAAGACCATTACAGATAATGCCAAAAATTTCATAAAATGTTTTAGGTTTATTTTATTATAAATAAATATAAACACAATATATGATTGATTACTTAATTTATTAAAGAGTTTTCAAGCCAATTGAAAATAATACAAGTGAATCAATTGATGATCTGGAAGATGAAGCAGTTGTGCCAATTTCTATATCAAATCTTTATAATACTGCAGAGGATTCTGAATTATCAGAATCATTTAGTTTACCTCATCACCAATGTTGTGCCAGTCACACATTGAATCTTATAGCCACTGTGGATGCCAATAGAGCCATGCAGTGTAAACAATATCAGAGGGTAAAACTAATTTTAATTAAATAAGTATATTTTCTACAATTAGATATATTGCACAACACTACATAAATGCCATAATATATGGAATAGGCAAAATAAGTCTCCTATTTCATCTGAGATTATTAAGGAATATATTGGTCGTTATTTTATATGTCCTAATATAACTAGATGGAACTCCACCTATAATGCCTTACAATTAATGTCAGAAATTATAAAAGCTAAATCTGACAAAGTGGACAAGATATGTGATGGAATAAAACTACCTAGGTTTTTACCTAATGAATGTGATTTTATTCATGAATATTGTTTCGTAAGTTATAAATAATATTTATATATATAGCATTATTTTAAATTAACTAATGAAGCCAATAGCTAATTCCCTTGATATTTTGCAGGGAGATAAGTATATGTACACAGCTTATTACTGTGCAACTATTTCACAACTTATTATCAAATTAAAGAATTTTAAAGAAATGAACCTGAGATTCTGTTTACCACTCTTAGATGCCTTACTTAAAGGGATTGAGGATAAATAAATTAATATAATAAATTAAAAATATTTAATAATTCTAGGTTTATTGTGACCTTATTTGAAGATGATAATATTATAGCAACCATGCTCCACCCTTTTTTTAAACTTGATTGGACATGGTTGCAAATGGAAGAAAATCTTAATAAAAGAAAACAATTGATACAAAGATTAGCTGGTGAATTATCAAAGTCATCAACTGACTGCAAGCAAATAACCTGCCAAAGATTTTTTTCAATACCCTACAGCAGATATAATTTCTAATAATGATTTAAATTTTGATAATCAACAAATTTTAAATAATTTTTTCAAAAATTAATGTAGAGATTTTAGCATTTTTAAAATATACCCTGATATAAAATTGTTATTAATTAAATATAACACTACAATTCCTTCAAGCGCCCCTGTGGAAAGACTATTTAGTGTTGCTAAAAATGTCTTTACAGATAAACGAGGATGCCTAAATGATCAAAATTTTGAAAATATTTTATTACTGAAATTTAATAATTATTTATAATTATTTAATCATATATTTTCATATATTATATTAAAATCATTATTTTGGTTATATTCTGATAAATGTTATATCACGTCAATAAATTTTTTAGCTCATTTCATGAATTTTCACAATATAATATTAATTTAGGTTTATGCAAACCTATAAGAGCATAATAAAAAATGTATCTGTATACAGATAACTTTTTCGACGCTGTATCTGTATCTAGATAACTTTTGAGACTATGTATCTGTATCTAGATCCATTTAAAAAGTATCTTTTAACAACTCTGATATTTTTATTAAAAATTATATATTATATAAAAAATTTAATATAACGCCATCTATATTACATTTTTTTATTTAAAATAATAAAAATTTAAATAAAATTAAAAAATCAAAAATGGCTATCGAGATTTTTTATTAAATCGTTTAATATAAAGGTAATAAACATTTTAGTGAATATTAACACCCAAAAAAAATCCCTTCCTAACAATGTTAATTTTTTATTTTTACCGGAAATAAGAAAACACTTGAAATTTCTTAATTTTTTTTTATATTTTCCAACTTAAAATTTTTAGAGCTATAAAATGATATATAATTTGTAACTCTATCTTAAGTATTTTTAAAAATAACAAGATTTAATGAAATCACGCACTTCGCGATTTTCGACTTTGAAGGCGTATATCTTTGGATCTAGTTGAGCTACCACTCTAAAATTTTGATTTTATTAACATTTACAACATAAATAACTAATATGCTAAGTTTCATTCATTTTTGAGATGGTTGGCCGAAAATCTCGTTTTTTTGGTCGATTTGACGTGGAATCACCCATATCTAATATATGTAATATCGGTAATCAAAACATGAAAGTTTTCCTATCATCTTAAAGTATTAAAAGTTTAATTCTTTGATTATTTACACAAATTTACATGGGTTTAAATGAATTATTTTTAAAATAAATTAGAAATTTATTTGCATAATGGATAACCATTTTTAAAAAATTTAAAAAAAGTAGTATGAGCAGTGTTAATATTTAATTTCAAAGTTCTATGTAATATAATTTTTAAATACATTATATATAATTTGTAAATGCTATGTAAATCCATAAATTAAGTATTATATATAAAAAATATACTTAAAAAAAATAGTTGATCAAGTTCAGGATGAAAAATATAATGCTTGTAGTGATAAAATATAAATTAGAATTTCTTTTAAATAACAAAAATTATATTTTGCAAAAAGTACATTTGTGTATTTCAAGGTATGCAAAGCCAATTAAGTGTTGGATGGAAGAATTTACATAATCTAAGATTATAAACAAGAAAATTTGTAGCTTTTGATATTTTTGGGTAAAACAGAGTACCCCTTAATGATGGCCCAAAAATTTATATTGAATCTTGCCATTTTATCTAAATGGGACATTTATAAGGTTATAAAATTTCCATATATATAAGGGTAATATATATCAGAGGTCTGCAAATAGCAAAATTCTCAAGCCTGGCCCAGAAAATATTTTGCCAGCCTAGCCTGGCTTCAATATTTTACTGAAGTTGCCCAGCCTATTTTTTAATGTTTTCTTTAATACCAGGCCTAATCTAATATATATTTGTTAAACACCAAAATAAACAACGACAGGCTGGGCATTGTAAATATCCCAAGTATATTAGTATTATATTTTTAAGAGATTTATAGGAAATAAATATTAATATATATAAATGATGAATATAATTTTAATACATGCATTAAAATTATATATTTATCAGAGACCTGCAAGTTCAGTCCACCTGGGCACATGCAGGCCATTTTTTTACAGGCCAGGTCAAAAAAAATATTTTTTATATGCATACATAGGCTGCGGTTAAAAATTTTTTTATAAAAAGCAGAATTGGACCTAATATTTTTTTTTTAAATATCCAGACCAGATCTAAATTTTATAAAATAAATATACAATATATTATACTTGCTGATAGCCTGTCAAGAATGATCTGGAATCAGAAATTTTATCATAAGGTGTGATTTAGAAGTTTATTTTTATTTTGATGAGGGGTTATTCTAAAATTTTCCATTATTTTTATAAAATATTTTAATGAAGTATATATTTACTTTTAAATTATGTGCACAATAAAAAATCTTTTTAACTAAATATGAATACAAACTGAATAAAAATTTTGTTGGAAAAACTTTATTGTGCTCATAAATATACAAAATATAAACATCATAAGAGTGATTCATTTATCATCAAATAAAGGGGAATTTCTGATTCTTTCAATCAAATAAAGGCAAAAATTCTGATTCCTCATCATTCTTGATGTCAGATAGTATTTTGTGTTTCCCAAACCATATAAGAAGTCTTTATATGATAAAAATTTTTGAATACTGCTTGATTCTTCTTATTCCAAATAATTTGCCCTATGACCCCATAAATGAATAAGAATGATTTAAAACCTAAAAGGGGACTCCAAATTTTGGCATGATTTATATAATAAAAATGAAAACATTCTTTTTCCAAGTAGATAAATAAATAATAAAATTTTATTATACTTTTTTTTTAAATTTTATTTGGACTTTAGTTTAAAAATAGATAATAAATAAAAATGAATCTAAATATTAGTTTGGATTTATATCAAAATTGGATCGGATCAATAAAAATTTTGTTGATTGTCACAGCACTTATTTTAATATTTTTAATGGTAGTAAACATTTTATGCTTTTAATTTCATTAATATTTTTCTAATGATAAAAGTTAAAATTATAATAAAATAATTTTACCTCCAATTGAGTGCAATGTACACATTTGCTATTCTTTGGATGATGGCAACTATTAATAATATTAGTTTTTAATACCTTTAATTACATAATATAAATTTAATTTTGTAAATAATCATATCCAATGACATGAGACAACCTTATTATGAAATAAACAAACTTTATTCAAAATAATTACAAGAGAAGCCAGTTTCTGAAACATTAATAGATATTATTTACTTTATTTTTAATAAATAAAATTAGCAAAATAATGTATGCTCATATAACAAAGGCATTATTATCATTTTACTATTTTGGATCAGGTTTTCTTTTGATTTTTCCATCCATCACCCATAATCTAAGATCAATCTCATCTTCTTTCCTATCTTTGTACTTATTTGCAACTTGCTCTAAATAAACAAATTATATATCTCACTCAAACTAAAAATTAACCCTTTTTCTCTATTTTAGGTGTTTCTTCTCTATTTTGAAGTGCATGAACATCATCAATTTTGTTATCTTGTATAGGTGGTACTTTATTTTTAATATCAATAAACAACATATCTCCATTGCTAAATTGAAAAAAAATATATAATTTGGTTGAAAATTATTATACTTAAGTTTATAAGTATTTAAGGTTGATCTTGAGCGTGTACTTATTTCATGACTTCTGTTCTGGTCTAAATAGAGATGAAATTCCTCATTATTTAAGAGATTAAATTCTGCTTTAACCTAAATAAGATAAAGATCAATTTTTTTACACATACCATACTTGATTTATTAAATTTATAGTTTTTTCATTGGCTTCAAAAATTAATCGTTTTGTCCCTTCCGGAGAACGTATTCTTAAAACCTAGATTAAACTTATTTTTATACAATTCATTTTATAGTTTTACAATTTTCTTATTATCGGGCATCATAAGAGAAATGATATATAGCGTTGAACGTTATTGTTTTTTATTTAAAATAGTAGCGTAATTGCGATCGCGACTTAACACCTGATCGATTTCTAAAATCTGTTTAGTTCATTTTTCATTATTTATATCATTATTAGATTATTATAATGAATTGAATTAAAGATAAAATTAATATTAAAATTGATCTCATAAGCAGATTTTAAAAATCGATCAGCTGTTAAATCGCGATGGCAATCGCGTCACTATGAAATCAAGATAAATAGCATTGTAATTTTTCTTAGCTTTTTAATAGGTCAAATGTTTAAATATAGCACAATATATTATCTGATTTTATTGATAAAACTTAGTAATTATTTAAATTAATACCGATTTGATGTTGAACTGGTTGATATAATTTGCATATGTAATAAAATAGTTTCAAAGTAAAACTTCACTCCATTTCCATTCATAATGTTAATATAGAATATATATAAAAATCTTGCAAATATTGCTAAAATATTTTAATAAATATTGGATAGACAATGATTAAGACTTCCTCTATACTAGTTAAACTTGGACACATTTATTTGGATGTCAATTTTATAGATAATTAATCGGCTTTATGTATAATTCCAATTGAAAAATGATCATATCTACTTAAAAAATTAACAATATAATTTATGGAGTCTATGACTTATCAGATATAATTTAATATTATAACAACTAATAATGTCTGCAATTTACAAAAAAACGTCTTTTCAGAAATGGATACTAATTTGACAAGTCTTCTCTAGAAAAACACCAAATATAATAATCTTTGTTTTTATTTGACCATTAGCTCATGCAAATATGGGAGCAGGGCTCTATATTTTAGAAGCCTATAAATTTTGTTTCTTAGGCCACATCTAAACAACAGAAAAAAAATAAACACTACTTATATTCCTCGACATTTGGTTAAATAGGCTGTGTTTATTTTTTCTTGCTTTGAAAACGCTTGGAAATGACCCTATCCCAAGCCTTAATAAATTGTAACTTGGAAAAAGTACATATGTTACATAAATAATGCTTAATATTACCTAATTCAGTTCATTTAATTGCTTAATATCTTATATAAATATATATCTAATTTATATCTAAGCTGCTTATTTATGAATCTATTTTCAATAATAACAACTCTAGTTCTTTACTTTATGATTCTTTCATAAATTAAAAGTTTACCCCGGGCGTCCAAAAGTCATAGCCGGATCACCATTATATATATGATTTTAAAAATTAATGATAATCTTTTTAAAGTAAATTATAATAGGTAAATTAGAAAAAAAAAGAAAATATACTTAAGAGTTGAAGCAGTGACGAGGCGTCAAGTTTACTACAAGGGAAGCAATCAAAAAAATTTTTATTTTATTTATTAGTCAAACCATAAAAAATTAAGATTTATAAATAAGCGAAATTCGTCTTTGTTTTTGAGTAAAATGATCAAGTACTGAATTATAAAAGTTATTACTAGATTTTAAATTTTTCAATAATTTTTTTTCAATAGAAATCAAAGCTAGATTCGATAATCGATTTTGACTCATTCTGTTTCTACAATAAGATTTGATTATTTTTAAAGATGAAAACCTCCGTTCTGCACTTGCTGTTGTTGCAGCCAAAGTTAAAATGAATTTGCATAATTTAAAAAACTCTTTAAAACTTTTCATCAAATCGGTATTAATTAAAAATTCAAGTATTTCATAAACATTTTTTCTCTTTCTAAATTCATCGTCACGAAACATTACCTTTAATTCGGTTTCCAGCTTGTGTAAGTCGAAAATTGAGAATAAGTGTCATTTAAATTGTCTAATAAATATTTTGGGAAATTTTGATTAAATATTTATTTACTAATATCTAACAATTCGACGAATTTGATATTTTTTAATGTATCAAACCGAAAATCAATTTCATTGATTATAGTATCTATTATTTTAATTATCAAATTTTTATAAAATTCTCTTGTATTAGGCAATCCGGATCTATTACGTTTTTTATCTAAATTGTCTTCAATATTTTCCTTTACAATTAAATTTCTCCAAAAAACATCAAAGTTTTCTATGTTAAATTTAACTGAATGAAATCGTTAATACTTTTAAGACAATATGATACATCGTTAGTTTTAGTTTGAAGTATATCAAATAATAAATCAGATTCTGGAAAAACTTCTTGAAAAAAATATAACAAAATTAGAAAATTTGCATCATTTAATATATTTAAATAGCCACGAGATGTTATTAGAACATCATTATCCCAAACAATATCAGATTCTTCATCAATCATACTTTCAAAAAAACGACTAGATCCTTCAAATAATTGAAAACTGTTTGAACCAGCCGACCATTGTATTCCCATCTTGTTGGGGCTACTCGTGGTAATCTTTTTTTAACATATTTATCAAATTCCGCTGTACGCTTAGATGATGTACTAAAAAAACTGGCTAAACCAGATAAAGTTGCAAAAAAAACCTTACATTCTTTAATTTTGCTGCAAGATTTTGATTGATAATATAAGATTTAACTTGTGGGCAAAACAATGAATATAAAGTCAGAAGGATTGACGTCTCTAATTTTTGCTTGCAGTCCATGTGAATCACCTGACATAACAGCTGCGCCATCGTAACTTTGACCTATCAATTTTTTCATAATTTTCTTATCATTCAAAAATTTAATGACAAATTTTGATAAAGAATTAGCATCACGATGCATTGTTAACATCAAAGAATTCAATAAATCTTTCATATAATGTCCCGTTATTTAAAACATATCGAAGAACTACAGCCAGTTGGGATTTATTATTTATATCAATTGTTTCATTTAATATTATTGTTATAAATTCCGTTTCTTCCAATTCATCTAATATTTTTTGGTGTACATATGAAATGGAGTTAATTAAATCATTTTGGATATCACTTGATAGTCCAATAAAAGTTGTATTATTTTCTAAATGATGTTTTAATAGCAAATTTTCTTCCGCGAGCAAATAAATTAATTCAATATAATTTCCTCTATTTACTGAATTAGGTGATTCATCATCACCACGGAATGCGAGCTGCTGAACTCCAAGAAAACATATAGAATTGATTAAAATTTTCAATATTTCTCTATTTGATTTAACTTTCGAATTATGCTGTTCGATTGATATTTTGCGATCGAATCTATCATATTTTCAATACGAATTTCGCCAAATGTTTTTAATTGAATCATCGACTGCAAATGAGCTATTGATTCTTCATGTCGTTTAACTGCCTTTGAAAAATTAATAATATCCGAAAATCCTCTATCATTCCAAACATATTTTTCCTTTGGGAATAATAAGCATGACCAACAATATAGAAAATTCACATCCAGTGAGCCATTCATATTTATCATATTTATCGATAGAAAAATTACGAATGCAAGATTTTATTTCTTTTTTTAAATTTCTTAAAATTGGCTTTGGTCTTTCTTTTACAATAATTAATTTTTTGGTATCAAAATTTCTTGAGCTAAATGATAATATTAATAAATTTTCAATAAACAATTACAATTATTAAACATTAATTTAAAGGAAAAAAAATTTTTTTTTAAAAAAGTAAAAAAAAATTTAATATAAAAAATTTATTTTTCTTTTATAAAAGAATAAGCAATTTTTATTTGCTTCCCCAATGCTTATTTTTTAATCGTAAAATTAAACAATATCATAACATGATTTTCTATTTATTTATTGAAAAAATAAGCAATATTAGATTTGCTTCCCTCTTGTATATTTTTTTAACGTAGTAAAAAAATTACACCAAAAAAATATCGTATGAATCATGATTTATTAGTATATTTATTATAGGAAAATAAGCAATATTAAATTTGCTTCCATCATTTTTTAACATAGTAAATATAATAGTAAATTTTTTTACGTAGTAAAAATAATAGTAAATTTTTGAACGTAGTAAGAATAATAGTAAATTTTTTAACGTAAATTTTTTATCGTAGTAAAATATTATAAATCTTTTTAACGTTATAAAAAATATATTAATTATTTTAAGGAAGTAATTTTATTTTTTTTTAGCATAGTATAAAGATTATATTAAGTTTATCTAAGAATTTTGTAAAAAAAATTTCAAGGGAAGCAATGCTTCCCTTGCTTCTATAAACCTTTATTTCAAATGTAGTTCAATTTATGAAACTAACTTCCACCAAATTAATTATATATAAACCTTTATTTCAAATGTAGTTCAATTTATGAAACTACTTACCCACCAAATTAATAATATATAAACCTTTATTTCAAATGTAGTTCAATTTATAAAACTACTTACCCACCAAAAATTAATATCTTTAACATGAAATATTCACTGGTCTTACCTTTCTTATCCTTTACATTGCATTGTATTCTCACTAATCCCTAGATAGATCCTGGGTCATCGGCAACAATATTTACGTCTACAATATTTATATCAAAATCTAAGTATTCCAAAATCAGTTTATTATCATATTTATACAATCATCATTTAAAAAAAATGTATAACATATTTACTCATATTTACGTATTAATATACATATACAAACAACCTCCAAAAATCCATACAAAAATCCATCAACAAAAGAACATCAGGTCCTATTAACAAAAGAGCATGTGATCTTCTTCTTTTCAACAATCCTCTTAAAAAACATAACTCAAAAGATCACTTTTGATTGACATTTCATATATATCATTATAAATATATAACAAAAATACCTACAACAAACCTCTTTCGTATTAGTCTGTTAAAACTAATAGCCTTTTAACTAGACGACTGTTTAGAAATAATAAGAGGGTTGAAACGGTCCAGCCCTAAGTATTTATTCACTTTTACCAAATTCAGTAGGTTTGGTGACTAATAAAATACTGTATTTATCATACTCTAATACAAACTTTTACCTTTATTTTTGTAGCACAGCACATACTATTTAGGAAAAATTAAAATATTTTTCTAATCCTATTTCTCTAGCCAGGCAGTAGGCAGAAATTTTCTAGAGGGAGGGATAATTTTTTTTTTTAA